ATGTTGAATATTCACGACAGGTAAACATGACGTGTATTTATAGGAAAAATACATTCCTTTCCTCAACACTAGCAGCATTGCGTTATGATTTTAAGTACAAAAACTTCAACATCAAGATATGTCATTTTAAACTTTACAAACTGGCCTGTAAAAAAAAAAAGCTGCATGAAGTTTTCCGTCGAATATAAGGAGCTTCGTCATCTCTGAGAAAATGACTCAAGTGACATCATTTTTAACAACGCACGAGTTACACATTTTTACACAAGGTTTTGAATTAAGAAATAGGATGCTGCACGCAAACTAAGGAAGCTCTCAAATTGCATTGTGGGAAGTGTAGGATTCTGGTTTTGAAGGGTCCAGTTTGACTCAAAGAAAAAGCAAAGTGCTCTCTTATTTTTCTCTCTCTGTTAAGTAACCTAAAACTTCAGGAAACTACTAAAATGTACTCTTTTTGAGAGATGTATCAAAACGTAATGTTCAATAAGGGCCTTGTCTGTAATCCGGATGTGAGAAACAAACAGAAATCATGACAAGCAGAAAGAGGAAGCCGTCTAATAATGGTGGCCAGAAAAGTGACAAAGAAGCATTCTGACACCTCAACCATCTACACTCCTGTGCTGTATGGTTTCACATTCAAAAAGAAAAGCCGGCTTCAATACTGTAATGTTATACTGAAAGATAAAAGTCTGAATTAAAAAAAGGTTGGAGTTGACACTGGAGGCCGGGATCAGGCTCCAATCTCTTCAGACAATTCCCTCACGCCCCGTTTTTGTAATCTCATGCCAGGAGTTCTTCATTATGGTGAAAAACAGACACTGCTGGTTTGTTGCTGTCTAACTTGGCGTGAGCACGTCTTCATTTTTGGACTCCCTGCAAATTCATTAAAATCCAAAATGGATCAAAGAATACACCAGCATTTAGTTACGCGTCATCTGCTAATTAACTTTTCCACTAATATGCTGATCTAAAGAGTTTCCAAAAATAGACTTTGCTCGATAACAGAGAGGAATCCAGCTTACCTCACTTTTGCCACCACAGCCGAAAAAGAATCCCTTTGGACATCCCTGCAAAGTCCGAGTGAAGGTAACAGGATCCATTGGGCAAAATGTGTCATCTCAAATCATTTGTGTCTCTCTGTGTCCTTTAGCGAGCACGGCCTGGAGGTGTAAGTCCAGACGAGATCATGTAGCATTAGCAGCCACGGCCATGGTCCCTTTTCAACACATTGAACCCTGCTGAAGAATGGTGAGAGAGAGAGAGAGAAAGAGAGAGAGAGATCCTTTATCCAAATGTCAAACCAATCTGGCCTTCTACTTCTGGCTCTTTTAGGTAACTACATTTGTGTGCATTTAAAGAAACACACGTTTTTACCTCTTTGAGCTCGTTCGGGCTCAAAGCAGCTCATGTTATCTGTCTCCTTCTCTCTCCCATCTCACTGCTTCACCCCCAACTCCCTCAGGTTGGACACGACAGCTGCACCACCACTGATAGGTCACATTTCTTTGGCTGCCATGTATGACCTGCACGCACACACTCATACACACACACACACACACACACAGGCACACGCAAGCTCCCACACTCCAAGCCCTTTAGATAGTGTTATCAACCCAAATGTGTGTGAGACAAGCAGAGACAGCGTGCGTGTGACAGTTGGAGCCGCTATAAAAAGAAAGTCTAAGAATAAAAGTTGGGGCTCAGTGATTCATGCAACTGTACAGCAGTGATACAGCAATACAATGCAATTCAAGTCAGTGTGATGACTGCAACACACACAACAATTTGTTGATGTTCAGCAAACGGAAGCATTTAAGAAGTTCTTTCAAAACATTTTCATGAAGAGTGAATGAAAAAACAATCTTGTGCATTCTCGTTTGCTTTGCACACTTTTTATATATCTTGTCTTTCATTTCCTGTCAACGTGTCGGCATATATTAAGTTTAATCTTTGTTCAGGTTTTTTTTTTTTTTCTCCATGATGTTCACTTTCAAAAGCGAGGCAAGATAATGAGAAAATCTTAAGTATCATGGGTCTCATTCACAGCAAAAAAAAAGACGACTTTGAAAAACTTGAATACATCTCTTTTAAATTGTGATTTGTCCCCTTCAAAAATCATGACCTGAAAGAAGCCCAAAATATACCTTGATGACATAACATCATCTCTTTTTCTTCCCTTTTTTAAAGTGGAGGTTGCAAAACCGTTTTAAGATGTTATAAAAGAAAGTTCAATGGCATCCCCTCATAGCGTTTTTGCTTATTTTCTCCTGAAAAGTATGACAGCCTACATGTTTGTATACTTCTCCCCACATCACCTGTTTGTTATTTGATACACTTTATCACTTACAACCATTTCATTTTGCAGTGTCCAAAAACATATAAATGTGAAAGATTCACACTTTGCTGTAGTATTTTATCGCCCTCTTGTGGACAATAACGCAATTGTCACAGTCACATTAAAAACAACACAACATAGCCTACATAATTCAGCTCTGTTTTTTTTTTTGTAAATAAACCAAAGCTAAGAGGGGGCTAACAGTTTAATAACACAAATGCTAAGAAAGGCTCTGTTTAGGCTAAATAAAGCCTATAAATGAGTTTGATCAAATGAAACTGTCACAAACACCAAAATATTATGTATTATATATTAAATATATGTTACCTCGCAACCAGAGCACTTGTGAAAGTTTTTCAGATTAGTAAAGGTTTTTGTACTTCTACTTCTTTTTTTGTTTTTTTTTATCTTTATATCACAAAAAATAAACAAGAAGTAATGGAGCTGATTTCTACCTGCTTTTGGTCCCGTTGCAGTCGCTGTCGACACTGTAATAATAAATGACATATTTGTAAAACCTAATATGAAAAAGGTCGAAAGTAAAAATTCAGCTTTAATATAAATAATTTAGCATACAATGATGTAATCTTAAATATCAAATTACTTTATTGACTTACAAAATGAACTGTCACAAAAACAAAAACTCTAATTAAAGTTAAAGGTTTAAAATAAATGCATTATATCGTTTATAAATCACTTTATATAGAGAGGGCGCCCTCTGGTGGTTAGTTGTTGGTTACTGCACTTAAATAATAAATGAATCAGACTGCTGTTTCTTTGAGTAAATTAAACACAGAAGGCTGGATGAAGAGCTTTTACTTTTTAAATGAAATAAATGAAGTTTATTCATATTACTTTATCAAGATGAACATTTAATCTCTGAGCTCTGTGAACAGTAATGTTTAGAAAATCATTTTACCTCGGAGCTACAGCACAGAGCGAGGAAACACCTGCACACACCTGTACAAAGAAACAAGAAGAAAACCCTGAATGTTGAGTTCAAACAACAACTTTCTCTTCACTTTGTCTAAATTCTGAACTAAAACGACATGTCCGATTTTTAATGAGCAGTAAGCATTATGTAATGTGAATAATGAGACTAAAATACGCGCATAATTTGCTAAACCCTGTTACTATTAATTATAAATGTTTACTCCACTTTATTTTTTCCAACATTTGTAGCGGTGTTTCTATTTTGTGGCTTTTCACACAAAACTGAACTTTTAAAGACTCACTGAGTATCTAGACTTCATCTCTCCTTCCCCGGCTCCTTCTTCTTCCACCGCTTTGGTCCACAGCCAGGCTGCCCGAACGTGTATAAACAATGACACCTGAGAACACCTGTACACACCTGCACACACCTGAGAACACCTGAACACACCTGGGCGTGATTAGCGGAAGCTTCAACAGGAAGTGTCGCAGAAAGTTTCGATCGACGAAAAGTAAAAGTTATAAATAAGAGGACACATAAACAAGATAAAGTAAATAATCAAATGTTTATTGATAAAAAAAATTCAGATTAGTGTGTTTTTAGACTTTTTTTTCCACATGCACAATGTTTACCTGACTGTATAGTCACTCATCACACACACACACACACACACACACACACACACACACACACACACATATATATTGATTATATTTTAATCATTTGCTGCCCTATGCCACCCTTCTAGATCCACCCCTGACTCTGAGGAGAAACTACTTTACAAAAACACAAAATGCAGGTAAATCAATAAAACCAAGGTGAACATAGTAAGTACATTCACATGACAAGTGCTGGATTAAAGAAACAAAGTATTTAAACACTGATTCAGTATTGCATTGACAATCATACTTTAAAAAACTAGAAGAGTAATAATAGCATCTTTAAAAATAAAGAGTGCTTTATAGATAAGCAGTTTCAGTAAAATGTGATAATTATATTCTAAATAAAATAATGAGAGGTTTAATGTGCCACCATCCTGCAATGCACCTTGTGGCCACACAGTAAAAACTTTGACTGTACTGGTAAAAAACAACAACAACAGTTTAGTTAATGATGTAAACACAGCACATTACATATTATTAGTTAATTGTGCATGTTCCTTGTTGCAGCATTGTTACATAATACATATTTTTATTAGTAGTTAGACAGTTTTGAAAGTTGAACGCTTTGGAAATAGTGGACTTTCATTTAGGACTGTTTTGTTTGAATATAACATCTTATTTATAACAGCGGTCAAAGGATTATTGGCTGGTACAAAACAATATGAAAGATAAACATTGTGAAAACGTATTTCTCTCGGATGCATTCAAGGACTCAAGGACAGTCAGATAAAAAGGTAGAGCGAGGTACAATAGGCTTTTTTTGTCTAGTGGAGAAACAGGTGTGTGTTAGATATGGCAATTATTATCCACATATTCTATGTGTTAATAAAAACAGAATAAATGTGATTTTATTGCACTTTTTTGGTCTAGATTTTGTGAAGAGCAACGCAGTGTCAAGTTTAGTGTTAGAGAACAAAACAAGTTGAAAAGTTCCTTCAGTGAAGTTCAGCCACAGAAACGCAAAACACAACATCCCAACCGTCAAGGCCGTCCTTTGCTATCTTCCCTTTGTGTATCGGCAACAAAATACTTGCCTTGCAGACTACAGTCAAAGTCAGATAGCTGCAGAGCCAAACAGATATGTGTGAGAATAGGAAAAGTCACATAACAGAATCAGTTTTCTGGAGCTACAGTACAGCCATGGTGTCCTGCAAGGTCTTCATCCTGGCCCCTTTGTGGATCCACTTTCTGACTCATGCCTGCAGGGGGGAGGAGGTGCCCCGGGAAGCGGTTTTGTCCTGGTTCAGAGATCGGGTTCTGCAGGGCCTTGATTTAGAGGAGCCTCCTCAAACAACAATGCAACGTGCAGATGGGGATACAGTAGAGCCAGATGCAGGGCCGGCACCGCTGAGGGCCCCGAGGACAAGCAGGACAGCATGGGTCAAGCAGCCAGCTGGTTCAAACCAGGAAACAACACAAATTATTGTCTTCCCCAGCTCTGGTAAGAAACCCAGATAAAAGCTACTCTAGATTCCAGTATAGCACACTTATTCATGCAACTTTTTCATGCAACGGCACAACAAAACTTGCCTGATCGTGTGCAAACGTAAATGACATTTTACCCCCAACTTATGAGTCAAAATAATTAGCATTGAAATAGTTGAAGCTCTGTCGGTGAAACATTTTCTCAACCTATGAGTGCCATGCAAGTGATGTGTAACGGAGAATGTTAGGTGCAAATACTAAAAAATATTAAATCATTTTTATGCTGGACTCTTGAGCATAAGACAATACAATATGGCGCTGAAGCACTGCTGCATGTTTCGGCATTCTTACATTTACCTTTGAGGCTGTTGTGCACCACATACAGTCATTATCTAAATGTTAAAATCACTTTTTTTTGTATAGCAGTGTATGCATGCTGCACATGCAAAACAACTAAAGCTAGGTAGTTGCAATTTCTATAAGTACACAATAGAAGAAAAATGGAAAAGGAGGCCGACTTTAACAGCAAAAGGTGTGGAAGTAATTGACCTTGAAGTACATGGACATACTTTGAGAGGCATTTCATTACAGACCCAAAATGTGGATTATTTTTGTGACGACTGTAGTTGGTAACTTTAGCTCAGTCTTTGACAACTGGGAAACTTAACCACTAGAGGTCAGCAAAAACATTACATGTAATGTGGGTTGAAGGTATTTACATGCATGCACCAATTATGTCCCTGATTGCTCTCTAATCTCACTTCTGCAGATTCGTCCTGTGCCCAGTCTGAGTCAGCTCCTGCAGAAACCACCAACACCCACTTTACGTATTACTTCCAGCCGTCAGTGAACACCCACGAGACAACGCTCACATCTGCCCACCTCTGGTTCTACGCAGGGGGGGAAGGAGTGTCAGCAAACTCCTCAGTCCAGCTCTTCATCCTCACTTCGGGGCAGCAGCTCCTGCAGGCCGCAGAATCACCGGCATCGAGGAGCTCGGACGGATGGACCACCTTTGACCTCGACCAAAAGCTGCTTGTTCTTATGGCCGAGGGTCCTTTTCTGCTTCAAGTGCGTTGTCTGGCCTGTGAGTGCCACGCCAACGAATCAGACAAGATGCCCTTTCTCCACCTTCGGGCTCAGTCTCGTGGTTCCGTTCGATCCCCGCGCGAGGCCCCCGTCACCATCCCCTGGTCTCTCTCTGCCATTGACCTCCTCCAGAGGCCCTCCCAGGAGAGACCCCAGCACAGAGACTGCCACCGAGCAGAGATCCAGATCAGCTTCGAGGAGCTCGGCTGGGACAACTGGATCATCCACCCGAAGGTGCTGACATTCTACTACTGCCACGGGAACTGCTCGGCCTTGGATCGCACCACCTCCGTCCTGGGGATCCCGCAGTGCTGCGCTCCAGTGCCCGGGACGATGAGGTCCCTGAGGATCACTACGACATCTGATGGCGGGTACTCATTCAAGTACGAGACCCTGCCCAATATCATACCTGAGGAGTGCACTTGTATTTGAAAATTGAAGCATTAAAGGGCCAGTTCACCAAAAAACTAAATCATATTTGTTTTTATTTATATGAAGTTTGTCAAGTATGTTTCCTTTTTCCTGGTTAAGTACTTTCAGCCTCCAATTACAAACACTTCACAATAAAAGTTCCTTTACTTTTCAAATGCCTAAAGGGTATGGTTGAGTATACAAGACATGCACATTTCTTTGATGTTACATGCATTTCATTGGATTTTTAATTCAAAAGTGGATTATTTTAAATCCAAGCATATAGAACAAAAACGTTTTGTCATTTAAGGTGACTGGCCCTTTAAGACTCCACTCACTCTGCTTATAAATGCCTTCTGTCCAACTAATCAGAGATGTTTTGTCATGGTTTTACGAAATCAAATCCTGGAAGGTTTATTTTGATGTCCTTTGTGTTTTTTCATTTAACCTGTAGAGGTCAGTGTTGACCTAACTTTCACAACATTTCCCTTCAGTACTTAAAATAGTCTGAAACCTGCTCTTAACAGATGATCTGTAATGTACATTAAATCACTGATTTAAACGTGGATTTGTTTTGTTTTTGTACATCCACACACACACACAACGCTAATCTGTTTGAGATGATTAAACCAAGATGGTCATTCCTTCTTGCGTACATTTCAGCTTAAACGAGTGTTGAAGTTGAACATTTGAACAATTAACAGGCTGACTCAACTCTCAAACAAGACTGTCGGACTAAAAGCACAGGAAGAACTGACCACGCAGCAACTTTCCCACAGAAAAAAAGATTTGAGTCCAATGTCCCAAACATATTGTTCAAATATATTTATTTACTCTGAAGACAAAATAATCTCTACAGTTACAAAAACTACAAAACTGACAATAGAAAAAAAAAAGCATTGAAGTACCATATTCAAAAATGGAACGTTGTACCTTGTATGAAAGTTGAATTTGAGATGATTACAAAAATACAGCATCAAAAAAGCTCTTTGGCGATCTGCAGTTTCATTATTCCAGCCAAAGATCATAAAACCAAAGTACACTGAACACGGAAAGCTATTGATCAAAAGTCTCATGATGAATGGAGAATGTGTGTGTTTACATGGTGCCGGGTTGTGCGTCAGCAGCCAACTGTCATCCTCTCCTCAGCTGGGTTTGTGTTTCTTTCCCCCGGATGCATGAAAAGCACCCATGTTTCAGCACAATGGAGGGGCAGTGGTGCACGTCAAGGGTGGAAAATATGTCTCAGCGGAGAAATATGTAAATTCAAAAGACGGAGGATGGAATGTCATTGTTGACGGTAGCCCAGGAGACAGATGTTTTCAGCTGTTTGACAAAAGAAAAAGTGATATTTTCTAAGCTTTCTGCACTAACATTATGAATCATTTGTTTTGTACATAATTCAGGGAAGGAGAAAAAAGGAGTATCTAACATCCAAGAGCCTAGTTTTCAGCAGTTATGTGAAACAGGTGGCGTTAAGATGCCAACATTTCCTTCTAATCTAGACAAAAAGGAAACTAATCAAGAGCTTTGGTCAAGAAACTGAAAGAAAAAAAAATTATAAATGATTGTACCATTAAAAATGGTTCTTGGAAATCTCTTGGAACATTTCCTGTTTAAGAATTCAAGCATTTCCCAGGTAAACATTTTGGCCGATTTGAGCAAATATACAGGCTACAAAATCTGTCTGATACTTGTGAAATGAATGCTGTGGTTTCCAGCTAATAAACACCAATAATCCCTAGAATGAGATCTGTTTCTCTTGCACATGAAAGATGAACCATCTAGTACAGGTTTAGCCACCCTTGTTGGAAAAGATTCTACTGCTCGTGCTCCAGACACGACATAACCCAAGGCTGTGTTGTTTGAAAACCTCTCTGAAGCCAACAAAGCTAGGATTTGGGGACATTTTATAAACAGAGAGCCACTCTTTAGTGATGAAGACAACAAAAGTAGACTTGGCCAGAGGAGTTTAAAGCTTTCCATAATCCTGGCAAGGTCTGAAATGGAGGATTATAGCATGGCCGCAAAAAAACAGAGTGGGCGTTCAGGAAAAAAAAAAAAAAAAAAAAAGGGTGTAGACAAGGTTTTTTTTTTTTTTTTTTTTTTTTTCACGTAGGTAAGCAAGTAGAAGCTGGAGATGTGGCCGGCTTTCAAGTTTACAGTCGTGGAGATGAACCTCAGTCAGCTTTTAGACTGACCCCTAATACTGAAAGGCACGTTTCTCCCATCCACACACACACACACACAAACACACACACACACAACACACACACACACACAAACAAACATACGCTCTTGGTCTCCCTCAGTGGTCTGACTGCACTCCCATATGTGCTTCCCCCATGTGTTTAAGGCCAGTAGGAATGGAGGCGCAGACGTTTGAGGCAGGAAGCACGCTCAGGCATGTATTCCTGGAGGAAGAAGAGCAAAACAAGAGGGATATTCAGCACGTACTCTCACTTAAAAACCTCAACTTTAAAAGTCTTCTTCCATGGGTGACATGATGTTTTACTTCTCTTGAGGTCAGCCCCTTCCTTTACAGATAGAAATCTAAAGTAGATCAGTAATTAGGAAGTTTGCAGCAGAGCTGGTTCTACAAGTCAATCCACAAAATTTCCCTAGAAACTTATTGCTCATAGGTTAAAAGCATAGTGTGAATGAAGAGATTCACTGCATTCAAAGTGTTGATTTTAGTCAGTTTGCAGTTTGTTGCTGGAAAAAAATCAACTTCAAGCTGTAAACTCGAGCTGTGAAATTCTCCAGGGCATTTTTAAATGATTTTCTTACATAAATTCAATGAAACTTAATCTTATTTGATGTTAATGGGTTCATTGCAAGTTGCAAAACATGACTTATGGAAAAAGTATTTTTATAGGTTGGCAAAACTTTTCTTCCAGATGTTTTCTCTCCCCCCCCCAAAAAAAAAAAAAAAATCGAGTGCAAGGTTTGGGTCTGATACCAACAGTTATTCTTAGTCATTGAAATGTGTATGTAGTACACTTGACAGTCAAATAACCACATTAGTTTCCCTATTCAGGACAAGATATCATGAAAAAAGTACAAATCCTTACTTTGAAGAGGTCTGAACTAAAGATGGTTTAGCTTCTTCTGGTATACATAGCTAATGAGTAATTGCTGTGTTTTCAAATCAAAACATATGCAGTGTTTGTTTATTCAGGTTTAAAAGTTTGATAAATGGCACAAACAAAAAGGCATAAAATCTTGGAGCTCTTATCCAAAACTTTTGGTGGTAAACTCCTGTTTCAATGTCATAACTCGAGACATACTGATAAAATACATCGCAAATATTTGAGCAGTTCAGGCCTGATTCTGAAAGCATCTTTACCTTGCTCACTGGTCTCTCCCTGCTGCTCCTGGGCGAAGTTTAGGCGGTTCTGCTCGGCTGCCGTCTCTGCAGCCGTGTTCACCTCGGGGCTGCTGCTCCGTGAAGGACTTCCTTCATCCGCCTGATAGGCCAGGTCCAGGTGCTGCTGGGCCAGCTTCAGGTGCCTCCTCAACCGATCCAGCTCCTTGGACGAGTGCACCTCGTCCCCGAAGCTCTCCCTCCCGGAGTCGCCAATCGGCAAGTCCTTCAGCTCCCCTTTGAGCTTCTCCTTCTTCATGGTGGCATGGTACCCTGGCGGAGCTGTTGGCATGGCACGTGATGACTTTGGATGAGGGCCTCGGGGGGTCAGCGTGGCCCGTCTGCGGAAGGTGTCCCTGACGCCGCCGATGCCGAGGTGGATGATCTCAAAGACGGTGAGCAGAAGGCAGAGGAAGGACACGACGTACATCACCAGGAGGAAGATGGTTTTCTCTGTCGGGCGCGACACGAAGCAGTCGACGGTGTGCGGGCAGGGCGAGCGGGTGCACACGTAGGAGGGGATCACCTCGAAGCCGAAGAGGACGTACTGGCCGAAGAGGAAGGCGATCTCAAAAGCCGAGCGCCACATCAGCTGGCACACGTACACTTTCATCAGGCCGTCACGGAGGATCCTCCGACGACCGTCATGCTTTTTCTCTGAGCCTTGGGAAACAGAGACACTGGTTAGAATCTTCATTTGCACAAAAAAAAGGAATAATCGAGCCGCTCAAATAGCCATCTTACTTTTTTCCACTTTATCTGGTTTTTCTGTTTCGATTTCTTCAGCGATCATGGGGTCTTCCTCGCCATTGTCCTCCGCCTCTTCGTAGTCTCGGACCGCCCCTCGGCTCACGATGGGCATCCTCTTCTTCTGTTTCCGAACAGGCCGATACTCGCCGTCTTCATTCCTTGCGATCTTGTGCATCGCAAATCCCAGATACATAATGGTGGGGGTCGTGATCATGATCACCTGGAATGAAAATGATTAAGACTTTAACTATTCCGAGGCGTAACGTCGTCAGAATGGTTTCAGAGAAATGCGACGGGCGGCTCACCTGAAAGATCCAGAATCGGACGTGCGAGAGCGGTGCAAACGCATCGTAACAGACGTTTTCACAGCCAGGCTGCTGCGTGTTACAGACAAATTTACTCTGTTCATCGTAGTATATGGTTTCACCGCCGACGGCTGTGAGCACGATGCGGAAGATGATGAGCACAGTCAGCCAGACCTTTCCCACAAAGGTGGAGTGGTTGGAGATCTCGTCCAGCAGACGAGTGAGGAAGCTCCAGCTCATGGTGCCGAGGTGACCGGGGAGCTAAACCAGCTCTGGAAAGAAATACATTAAAAGAAATGGTTAAAGTCTACTTTGCTTTTTTTGTTTTGTTCCTTTTATAGTTCACTAAGCCACCATTGTATTGCAAACATATGCTCTTTTGCACAGTTTTGCTGTTTTTGTTTTTCTTGAGGTTACAGCTCTACAGAAACAAAAAAAGAGGAAAAATAACTTTTTTTTTTCCACTGTACAAACAAGAATGAACTGAGAACTACAAAAGCAACTTCTAGCAGTTACTGTCTGTCCACACAGAAAAGTGGGTTCATAAAACTGAAGCATTTTATTGATGCATCAATGAATCAGTCCAACCTATTTTGACACATTTATGATCATTTCAGTCTTTTTTATGATTACTAAATGCTAAGGACCGTTTGTTTTCTCTGATTTAATGTTTAAATATCAGCTGCTTCTCTCCGTTTCCTCATGAATCAAATCCTGAAGCTTATGGACTGTAAATCTGGAATTCACCAAGGCATTGATCATCCATCGATTCACCCGTTGTTGTCGGCCTTTACTTCATGAGAGAAGAAAGAAAGAAAGTGTGCACATGCAGGTTTATCTTTCCACCAAATGATAAAAAGAATGTGAGATCAAATCTTGCATGCAAGTGTTTTAGGTAGACCTCGACTGCAGGTCAGAGAAATAAACAGCCACATTCTTTGTTTTAATCAGACCCAGAGCTCTCACACATGCAGGTATCCGAGTGTAAACTACACAGCACACTGCGATTCATACTCGTAGCCTTAGTGACAGTTTGGTACTCGTTCATTTTCACACCTCCCCGCTATTCAGAGCCTGAGCTGCTTAATCA